GGTAAGATCATTAAGTTTTTGGACCTCAATCGTTCGTCTAATTTAGCTATCTGCTAACTTATGAGCGTGTAACAATTTTAGAGTAAAACGTTAATTACAATTTACCAAAATTACTCCCAAATTGTTCGGATTAAAGTATTTTGGAGTGTCACCAAGAACAAGTATACTTTTATAGGACTTTGGTGATTTACTAAATAGGTGTTGATTAAAGAATTGTAAAATTAGCACTTCCCTCAAAATGCGGTAGAGTCGCGGAGCCTAAAAGTTCTATTCACTGAAGAACTTCAGAAATCGGATTCTGATGACTATACGTTTGAGACTACTAGAAGCTAGAGTTGAAGATTCGCTCCGGAAAGACAACAGTTGTTTTAGTCGTTTTGACGTGGTATCGTACCTCTTGGACAAAAGGCTGCATGCTTTCATGAGAAACTTTTAAGGGGTACTTTCCAGTTTTTGATTCCCTCGGGGGGATGGGGGCGGGGGCAACTCAAAGATTTCAAATGGCCACCCCCCTCATGGCCAGTGGTACGTGACTTTTGAAAAACCCTGTATTCAATTTTTACAGTCGTGCAATTTAATTTATTCAAAGGAAGGGGGGGGGGGAATAAAAAAAACCTTGTTAAAGCTATTAATCAATCACAGTGTGCGAGCAGCATACTCTGCGTGCACGAGCTTGGCAAGTTTTGCATGGATACTGCTAATTTCGCTCTCAAAGGAGCTTTTCAATGGCGGAGCAGCGACGAATTCCCGCACAAAATGGGAATCGGATCCGGGCTGCGAGCACGCCAATAAATGACGGGCATACGCATGCACACTGCACACAGCCGTAACGAACGTCGATGAGAAATGCGCAATTAATAATTGGCCGGGGCCGGGCAAGCGGCATGCGGCATCGGCACCGGGAACAAATCCCCTTTCAGTTTTTGACGGGCTCCAGTCATGAACAGACCCAGGCTCTCGATAACTACGGTTATCTTGTCCAAAAAAAAGGGGGGGGGGGGGTAGAGTGAAAGCTTCCAAATCGGGGGGCCGGTTAACTCGACCCGAGTTGAAAAGATGCTTGGAAAATACGGTGAAATATCGATGGCTGAGGAACAATGCCGTCTATCTATGAACTGACGATTTTACAAACTACGCCATTTTTGAACTTTTATGGTTGGGTTTGCAATTTTGTATGTAAATTAGGTACGTGCGCATCGTGTTCTATGCGTCTTTTACCACTGACTCCAGCAGTGTCATTACAGCGCTCCTATCCGGAATTAGAAAAAAACTAAAAACACCAGCTTGCGTATTTAAAACTGTGTTTATAAGACGAAGTCGCTGACTCATTTATGCCAAAATTTGTCATTTAGGCGGAATCGCTCCAAAGCCATCGATATGTAGCATTATGGCTGAGGAAGCCTAGGTACTTTGAGTATGACCGACTAAGGCTTTTTAGGCCCAAACTTAATCCGGGTGCTGATCAACGCAAGAGCCACTTCATCTGTGAATAAGTACTGTTACACAAAAATGGAGAATTTGCAGTAAATTGCATCTTTGCGAAGCCATTTTAAACTTCAGGAGAAACCATTTGAACATTTAACCTTCCTATCGATTGAAATAATTGGATTTATCCTGATGAAATAGCATTCTACAGGTCTTCGAAACCTTGCATTTACTCCTCAGGGCCCGATCGAGTACTACGTAAACCACAAGGGGGTATAGTTAGGGTTTCGACGACGCGACCTTTCCAATGCTATTCCATTAGAATAAATCCAATTATTTCACCCGATTGGGAAGTTAAATTTTCAAATAATTCTCATTCGCGTTTAAAATATCTTTGTGCCGATGAAGTTAACAGCAAACTCTCTATTGAAACGTAATGTAATTATCAGATCGAGCGTTTCTTACGTTAAGTAGCACACGGATTAAAATGTACCAAGTAATCACTCTGCAAAGAAAAAATAATATTTCAACGATTGGAGCACCTCCCATCAGACTTATGAGACTTGTTCTGCTTTTTCTCGTCGCTCCTCTGACTAAAGCATCTAACTTCTATGTGAGAAAAGCTCTATCGGCCATTTAACTTGATGCGCTACTCGGTTCACGAGGGAACGGAGAAAAGCTCTTACGTAACAGGAGCGACGTTATCGACATCAAATCGAGCGCAGAACCCAGAGTCGTTGAGCGTCCGCGTGACATTTACAAGAAAAAGTTGCCAAAAGAACTTTGAAATCCTTCCAAAACTTCAGTGCTAAGCATGAGCATAAAGCGTGGTTACAAGGGGTACCAACTTTCAAGGGCCGTTCATAAAATGAGTAACGCTAACTAACGGATTTTCCGACCCGCCTCCTTCCTCCGCGTAACGCTTTTGTGACATACTACGATGGAACCCCGTGCGTACATTTGGGAGTTACCAAATTTCCCCGGATAAAACATGTATTTTTGAGGGAAAGATAATCATAGTTTCCCTTGAAATTTTCATGTATTTTCGATCAAATTGCGAACCAAATTTTCTGAAAAATTGAAGAAAGCTATTCAAAATGTTCTCGGTGAATCCAGTTTTCATTGAAGGGAATCTGGCGACGTTTAGAGGCTCATACGGCGTTTTTTTTTTAGCACAGCAGCGTAGGTCTCTATCCTTGGACACGGATAAAAATGGCGAAGCACTCTCCTCGATGTCTCCCTCCTCTCCTTAGGAGCGTTAAGTATTTCATGAACGGCTTTACGCAATTCCTAACCAGTATATGCCAAAATACTCGTAAACCCTCTACCACGAAGTTTCGGCCTGATTTTCCATACTGAGTACGAGACAACGAGCCTTGCTACATGAAGTCCCGTCCTATTATCCGCGGCAGGCAGGGGTGAGGCGTGAATGATCGATTATCGATATTTCTCCATTTGAGGCCATGGTAAAGAATCGATTATTCAGGTGTTCGTTGCAAGCACCCTGTTTGTCGATCCTTTTCCATAGGTTTAAATGGCAGATCAATCGATGCATTGATATAGGGAGCTCAGAGACACAATCCGCGCAGTTGACCACGCTCCCAATCTAAGGAGATATACCGTATAATCATTCAAATATTACCAATTTTCGCCCTGTTAGAATTTCCATTGTAAGGAAATATACCGTATAAAAATTCGAATATTACCAATTTTCTCCCTTCATTATTACAGTATTAGAATTTGAAGTAAAATCATTCCTGGTCATCTGGCCACACTTTCTACATATCCCTCGATATCTCAAGGCCACGCAGTTTACACGAGCCAAAAATAACAACACAATCCATATCCATCAAAATTTAGCGGCTCGCTGAACGTTGATACACTGATTATTACACAGTCATGAATCAACATGAACTCTGTGGTACATTCGATCAATTAGGATCTGCATTCTTATTATGTAAACCACTGAACTTTGACTCATTTGTCAACATTTCTCTTTTATCTCATTATTTCAGCAGTCGATCATAATTTCGTAATTAAAAAACGGAGTAATGCAATTCTCCGAAATCGATGCAAAAAGTCACCGGTTTAACAGGGATTTGATGTGAAACGTCCGAATGGTTCCTTGAGGCGTTTTCTCTTGAGGGCAACACAGACTTCACGTTCGGCGTGGTTCAGAGTTTTTCCGAGCGTGAAGACTGGATGACGTCACGGTGGGTGACAGGTGGAAAGCTTCGCGAGGGCCGCTTCGTTTGGGACACGCTTATCTAACCGATATCGGGAGGTCCTGGGTTTGATGGATTACGCTGACGAGCGCAGAGTCACCCAAGATAGAGGGACGTTCATTTAATCACGCTACGTTCCTCTGGGGTCCTATTATCTTTTCACCGTGACTAAAGACACTGAGTATGTTGAGGATTCATGAGGAGAGGAATGTCACTCTGCCCAAAATTTAAAAAAAAAAAAGGTGGTCCAAAGGTGTTCCGGAGGTAATAATTACTGAGAGAGAGGCCCTTTGGTGCACTTGTGTAGGAGTCCACTTTAACCTACCGCCACAAGTTTCTCACTCTTTTTGGGGACAGCCTAAGGCATGGTTAACTGGCGTTACCGATCCTACCATCACTTAATTAATAATGAAGGAAACACGATTCAAATTACTTTCAAGGGGAGCTTTTATCGCGCAAGAAATAATAGAGAAAGTTAAAAATGTTAAAATGGGTAACTCACCTGCACGTTTTAATATTTTTTTTTGCAGACGCGTTTCGGGCATCAGCCCATCATCAATGCTAGATCGCGNGATGATGGGCCGATGCCCGAAACGCGTCTGCAAAAAAGAATATTAAAACGTGCAAGTGAGTTACCCATTTTAACATTTTTAACTTGCTCACGCTTCAAATTGTTTTCAAGTAAAAAAGTCATACGAGTGAACTAAATGAAAGCATATTTCATTAAGAATCTGACTTTGGCACTTCGGTTTACTTCTTTCAGGTCTCAAAGACAAGATTTAGGTAGAAAATCATAATTAGTTTAGCGTACAATAGAAGAAGAGGATGTTCACTACTAGTAGACCGAGTCAACATTGATAAGTATCGACAAAGAACTCTGCCTGACATCAGGCGATTACTCCTCTTAAGAATGAAAGAATCCGTCTTATTCCTTTCTTTTGCTGAATGCAACACAATTTTATTTGTAACTCCGACTAGCTGCATTAGTAAAATGCTCCGGTCATTGGTAGTTTTATCACATTAAATACAGCAAGAAACTGCAACCCTTCAAAATGCGGTAGACGGAAAGGATAAAGGTCTCATGGGAAGTATCTTAACCTATCGATTTTGAATATTTTCTGTTACAAGTGAAGCTTGATATGTGAAAATGTGACCACGCGAACCAAGCGAGCAACTATTCGATCACCGAAGTAGGTATGTGGTATCACGCCAAATTGAAGGAAAATCTTAGTTTCACGTCTTTAAAGTTTCCAAAGTTCATGAATTTTATGCTCTCGTCGATGTAAAATGCCGTCTATACCATTACATATCGTCGTCATTCATCACATATGTAAAATAACCATGTCTTACCTTAAAAAAACGGGTAGCAATAATTCAATGAACGTGAAATGCTGTAGATATTAAAATAAATAAACAGGAACATCACTTCACACGAACACTTGTAAATGAATCGACAACTGAGGTTAACTTTTCCTCCATTATAAAAAGCATGGATTCAAGACATGTCTGAGCACCTGGCAGCAGAATAGATATTTAATATTAAGATGAAAAAATTAAACCATTTAAGGAAAAACTTATGGCTCGTTAATCACGAAGAAATACAAAGGAGGCATCGTTTAGTTGGCTCCTGATATTTGGAACACTTTTTAAGGAGCAGTTAGAAAATCACTGTAAAAAAATCTGAAGATAAGGACTCGGTAGTTAAGAAAGCTAATTAACGGGGGAGAAAACATCCGTGAAAAATAAATTTATTTTTTTTTCGGTCACCAACGATCAAAAAAATGACAGTGAAGAAGAAAGGAAATCCATTAAGTTGAAAGATCACTCAACCGGCTTGTATACGACAGGGTGACAATCTTCCTTGAATTTGAGGATAAGATTTGTAAGGTTTTGCAAAAATGTCTTCACTTCTTTTACTTTACGGGGATTTCAGACATGATCATGCGTTTCTCGTGACAACACAACGGCCAAGTCTGAACTTTGGCATTGGAGAACTCTAGTATGTTACCGAGTTAAGGACTAATTTCAGTAGGAAAAGAGACTTAAGATATTGATAGCGGAATTAGGTATATTCCTTATCTCTAAATTTTCCAGGTTTCCCCAAAAATTTCCCGACTGTCTCTTCACCTTTCAAGAATTATGAGCACGGAAACGTGTTTCAAAAAAAGACAAAACAAGTGGAAATTACGAGCTCTGCCGATGGAGAGCCTGAGAATGATCGAAGCCATTCCGAGTGTTCAAGAGAACAAGTAAGAAATCAAGGTTTACTCGGAAAATTTCCAAACTTGTAAGTAGAAATAGCTATTGTTCATCGCATGTCGGGACAAGAGTCCACCACTAACTAGCCCCGAATCGGCACCTCTCAACAGACGAATCAACACGAGTAGAGTGATGTCATAGGAAGGATTCGACTTTGGCTTCGTCACACGATGAGAGAGGTTTAAAATTAACCCACCCTCAAGAGTCTTCGGTGGCTTTTCAAAAACTTGTCACCCCGCGTAAACAACGGACGAAAGCACGAATTCGAGAGGAAAAGCGAGGCGACTTGGAGCACAAAAATATCCCGAAGGAAAATCACGGAGCATGAGGTTAAAATTAAAATCGGGCGTTTGCGAGGACTCGCGGTGCGGCGGACGCGACAAACGCAGGGCGCCCTCGGCGTCGGCACGGAACTGACGGAGCTTTGGCGCGTGGACCGACGCTACCCCAGTTTCCTCCCCGTTCCCCGCTCGGAAACGCTCCCTCCCTCCCTCCGCGCCCCGCCACGGCCCGGCCGGCCGCCACCGTGCTAGACTTTAATGCAATAGATCTTTTGCGCTAGAAAGTTTTCGGCAATTCCCGACACATCGTCGGTGCCCTCGCCTCCGGGTTCGAGTGCACGTTAATTAAACGGGGCGTCGTGACTACCAGGTATCGCCGGGACTACCGCCTTCAAACCGGTGTAGACGTCTACTCTGCCGTGATAAGGAAAAACGCCGTATGGACCTTCAGGCGATGCCAAATTCCCTTCGATAAAACAGGAATTTCGATAAAAAAGGGTTGATTTGGGCCCACCCTAAATTTCCTCAAATTGACGATTTCTCGCTCATTGAAGGTTTAAATTTTACTTTAATGCATCATGATTTGGTCATTTTCGGTCTCATCTTAGTTCTAATACTGGCCTAAATGCAGTTCTGGAGGCCGATTTTGTTGAGAAATGCAAGATTTGCAAAGCGGACAAATGTCAAAAAACTGCACTTTTTGCCAAAATCGGCCTTCAGACCCATGTTTGGACCAGTATGAGACATGTTAAGAAAGCGTAAATGACAAATCGTGATGAATTCCGTAAAATATAAACTTTCAATTAGCAAAGCATCGTGAAGTTGAGGGAACTTAGCAAGGGTGGGCCCAAAAACGGAACCGATACCCTTCCTTAATGAATATTTTCCTTTCGATTTTTCAGATAGTTTTTTTACGCAATTTCACCTAAGTTCCTGAAAATTTCAAGGGAAAAAAATCCACAACTTGCCTCGAAAATAAACATTTTATTAAGGAAATGCGGCACCTCTCGAATGTCCTCACGGCGCGGCGTTTTTCCTCATCACGGCAGTATTACAGACGAGATTACCGCGCTATCCAAGAGCTTCGCGAGTGAGAGAATCAAGTTTTCAACAAGGTGGACAACAGTATGTGCTGACTTTGGCAAATGTGTATCATTGTATTTTTCAATGATATACGGGGAAAAAGTGTTTGGGGTTGTCCCCTAAAATTGTGGTACTACCCCGATTGTTGGATGATATGCCCATTTCCAATTAATTGGGGTAGTGACGCAACTCTGTATGGAGTGGTACTGCAAAATTTGGGATAGTAACCTAACTCTTTTGGGTACTACCGCAATTCATTTGAAATGTCCAAATCATCCAACAAACCCGAACCCTCTCTCTCCGTGTAACAAAAAGATCTAAGGGTTGGCTGTTCTGCGTTTGACTGAGGGAGGTGCAACAAGGGTGGGGGAAGGTGCGACAGAGGGATGATGCGAACATGCTCCCTAAAAACTCGAGGTGGTTTCCCGGTCTGCGGGTATCACATATCACAGTGACTCTCTCGTTTTGCACAAATGACATGAATTTTGCTTTTTCAGCCGGGTCATCCAGCCCATTGAAATTAAGTTGGTCGATGTTTGATGGAAAAAAAGAACGAAAACAAAAAGATTTGCACTCCCGGTCTGCGGGTATCACATATCACAGTGACTCTCTCGTTTTGCACAGATGACATGAATTTTGCTTTTTCAGCCGGGTCATCCAGCCCATTGAAATTAAGTTGGTCGATGTTTGAAGAAAAAAAAGAACGAAAACAAAAAGATTTGCATTCAGTGGACACACGTGTTACTGCTCATTTTTTCTCAATTTTCACCTCCTGCACGATTTTTCGTGACGTTACGCGCGAATCGAGTAAAGTATTTGCTTAACTTACTTAGTCAAACTGCCCCAGGAGAGGTGACCGATAGGGACGGGATTTACTTTGATCGAATTATTTTCTTTATTCAGGGCGAACATTGATAAAAATGAGGGTAATGCGACCGGGATTGAAACATAAGACGCGAGCGATTTTGTTGGGGAGCTCAGCGGAACAAAACGAGACAACGGAAGCAATGATTGATGGGCTTGGCAACAAGTTCGGCAAACCGAGCGGCGTTGTCGCCCAATACGTTTATCATATCTCGACCATCACCTCTAAGATCACAATCGTTTCAAGCCCTTTGTCGACAACCTCTACCTTACTTACTCAAGATTACTTTAAAGTGAAGGCCTCGAAATATGTGAAGGCAATTTCAAAAAATGTAGGAGCGATAAACTCTCGGCACCTCTTGTAAAAAGAATTATCATTGAGCAAATAACTAACGCTTGATCGTAAAACAGAAAAGTTCTTCCTATTATGCACAGTCCTCATGAACTCGTGAACTAATTGGATACCTGATTTACTAAAGAAAATTTATTTTTTGAAGACGCTAGGAGTTTGAATTGAAAACAAGAAAATCGAAATTTATTGAAGTACAGAAAATGAGTCTTATCTCGCTAGCATGAGCCACCATTCCGTAGGTTGAAGATTGATGATGTTGCAACATTTGAGGCACTGGATGCGAAAAGGGCATTTCTTGGTTGTAGTGTTTCAGAGTCTCTTCTAAACTTTCATTCCTTGTAAGGAAAGCGAATGCATCCATTTCACTAAGTATTCCTCATAATTTTACAATTTTCTATGAAGAGAATTCTGGAAAAATCACCCATTAAATGCTTCTCCAAGAGATTAATTAGCAACAGATTCTGGAACACTGCAATCGAGACGTGCTTTTTTCGCATCCAGTGCCTCATTTGAATCTCTGATCTTATTCACTGGTTCATTCACTCAAAACTACTCTCGTTGCTTGTGACACCAAAAAGTGAGAAACCGAAACGTTGAAAAAGAATTCAACGGAGAGAGATAAAAAATGAAAATATATTCGAGTGCATATTTAAGTGCGTGATAATGCCGTTAGGAAGAAAATCCGCCATAGTGAACTATTGTGCTTATTTTATATCAAGAACATTAGCCTTCCTTAGTTCCTTCATGTAGGTTAAGGATAGAGGAACGAAACCGCATCAGCTACTGCCAAATTTAATCGAGCAATTTAATTTTTAACATGAAAACGGTTGTGCGGATTTTGGAGCCAATTTCGGTGAACTTTCTGCATAATGCATTTTCTTAAAATTTTCAAAGAAATCCACACAAACGTTCTCTTGTAAAAAATTAAATTTCCGAGTTAAATTTGGCGATAGCTGATGAGGCTCGGTTCCTTTCTGCTAAACGCGGTCCAAATGTGATTGAAAACAATGACAAAGCCTGGCAACAAACGTTAAGTTAGTACAATGATATTCAAGTTTGGAGCCTGGTTGCGTCAGTTCACCCCTGGTTTCGAAGCGAAAAAACTTTCGGCCTTTCAAAATCACGTTGAAACTAGAATCGTTTGAAGTCTCGGAGCACCCAAAGCAGAAGTTTGGGAATATCAGTTCCATGTCAGATCTAGATCTACATGCAAAGCTCAGAGCATAGCGGACGTTGGACGACGGGGAAGGAAAGTCGACTTTTCGGTATAATAATTGATTAATTAATCATTTCCTTTGGGTATTCTAAATCCGCAGTTTAACCGAGAAGTTCCTTTGAACATCCCAATCGAATTTTGGTCTACGCCGCGCGGCGTCAACAGTTCAAGGCCTTGTTGCAGGACCGTAATGCTCAGTAGCCCCGGGGTGCTGACAAGATAAAATGACCCGGGTTGTGTACTTCAAAGAGAAAAAACAAGCCCAAGGGGCCAAGGGCGCCTTAACCGTAATTACAAATGCACATCAATATCACGCCACATGAAGACCGAGAATTACGCGTTATACACCTTTGTATCGGCACGTGCGCAAATTCACCAGTGGTTGATGAGGAACACATAATTTCCTACTCAATATTGTGGAAAATACGTCATTTGTACATCGATGGAAGCGTAAAATGTCAGCAACTAGAGATAGGCGAGAAGCTATGATTCTCCTTCAATTTTGAGTGATACCACATACACACTCCAGCGTTCGAATAGTTGCTCGCTTAGTTTCCGCGAGCGCCTTGTGAGAGAAATTATGACGGTTTCATCTCAATATCACGAGAAATGTGCGATATTTTCAGCGGATTTCTCACATTAATGGGAGTTACGCGCTTTTCACCTCGGTCTCGCGGGAAAAGCATGATTTTCCAAATATTTTCTTGGAATAATTAGAAAGTACGCGATATTGACCGCAATAAATATTACGGCAAATACTAGATTTTTCCACCGGTGTTGTAAAATCATTATAAATTACGACATTCACCTCAATATCGCGGTACAATTTTCCAGCGATAATAAAATACGCAAAATAACGCACACTTTTTCCTGGAATGTTGCGGAAAATACGCAATTTTTATATAGACGAGAGCATTAAATTTATTAACAGCAGTGACTTGACGTAGCAAAAAGCTATGATTCTCCTTCAATTTTGTACGACACCTCACACCTACTTCGGCGTTCAAATAGTAGCTCGCTTAGAATCTCCGTGTGGCAAGTGAGGAATTACGCGAGTTTTATCTCAATATCAATGCGCCATGTTTCTAGCATTTTCCTTAAATAAATACAAATTACGCACTTTTACTTTCGGTATCTCGGAAAATGCGCAATTTTTCGGGCGAATATTTCATATAAAATTGGTAATTGGTAATTGGTAATTGGTATTTTTCGTGGTTATCACCACGATATCGCTGGCAAATACGCGATTATTCCAGCGGCTTGGTAAAACAAATTGTGAAATGACGCGATAGACACCACAGTATCGCGGCAAATGCATGATTATTCCAACGGTTTTGTAAAATCATTAACAAACGCCAATTTTCCGGTGGATGATTAAGAATGGAAAAGAACACAATTTTCACCTCAGCATCTCTGAAGACGCGCGCATTTTACATCGACGAGAGCATGAATTCATGAACTTAAGAAACTTTAAAGGCGTAAAACTAAGATTTTCCTTCAATTTGGCGTGATACCAAATACCAACTCCGGCGATTGAATAGTTGCTCGCTTGGTTTCCGCGTGTAAGAGCGCGAGTTTCATGTCAATAATGCGAGAAATGCGC